TCGATATACATCCCAATGGGAAAAGGTTTGCTACTGGTGGTCAAGGTATATTTATTATATGTACATTTTATCCTTTAATGAAGATATATATTAAATTGAAATAACATATTAGAAATGCCAATAAAATACCAATGATATTTAACATTTTATTCTTGTACTTATTATTGTTATATTTGAATTAGGTGGTGATTCAGGAAGAGTTGTTATATGGAATATGGAACCGGTAGTTAATGAGACTGTTGAATTAGACTCCAATGTTCCAAAGATGCTTTGCCAATTAGACAATCATCTTGGTAAAGATTAATTTTGTTTATGTTAGTAACTTATTAATATAAAATATATTTTTTTTACTTTTATTTAGCATGTGTGAATTGCGTACGATGGAGCAATAGTGGATTGTTGGCATCGGGTGGTGTAGATAAGCTTATTATGATTTGGAGATTATCTGGATCAGGAGGAAGCTCTATTTTTGGTGGAAAAGCCAGTGTCGAAACTTGGAGATGTATTGCAACGTTACGCTCACACGAAGCTGATGTACTTGATCTTGCATGGGCACCACATAGTCCATGGTTGGCTTCTGCCTCAGTGGATAACAGTGTTATAGTATGGGATGCATCCAAGTTTCCTGCAGTAGTTGCAGTATTAAAAGGTCATACAGGTTTTGTAAAAGGAATTACTTGGGATCCTGTGGGGAAATATTTAGCATCTCAGTCTGATGACAAAACATTAAGGGTATGGCATACTACGGATTGGACGGAAGCAGCTTTAATATCTGAGCCATTCGACGAATGTGGTGGCACGACTCATGTTCTGAGACTTTCCTGGAGTCCAGATGGTCAGTATTTAGTATCTGCTCATGCTATGAATGGAGGAGGACCTACAGCTCAAATAATTGAAAGAGATGGATGGACACAGGATAAAGATTTTGTTGGGCATAGGAAGGCAGTAACTTGTGTTGTAAGCATTGGACATATTTCTTTTTATTCTTTCTTTTTCTTTTTTTTTTCTAATACTGAGAAGATTTTTAATCGAAAATTTTTGTATCAAACACCTATATAATTTTTTAGAGATTTAATGGCAATATTCTACAGAAGAAACAACCAGGTTCCTCTAAGCCACAACAGTATTGTTGTGTTGCAATAGGATCACGAGATCGTTCTCTATCTGTATGGTTAACATCCTTAAAAAGACCTTTGGTTGTAATTCATGAGTTGTTTACACATTCTGTATTGGATGCTAGTTGGTCACCATGTGGTCTTCGTCTTGCCGCATGTTCTTGGGATGGAACAGCTGTATTTATTGAATTTACTCAACAAGAATTAGGACAACCTCTCGATCCTGCTGAGCAAGTAATTACATATATATATATTTGCATGATGTAAACATACACATATGCGTGCATGCGTACACAACATATGTAACTTATTGCTTTCATATATCTTACAAAATCAATTATTCTTTTGGGTTTATAGAGTAGTTTACATGAACGATTGTATGGTAAACCATTGGTTCAAGGAGGTTGTATGGTGATGGAAGCACCAGAACTTCTCAATTTGAAACAACCAGCATCGAATCAATCTTTTCAAGTATCATCCGCTCCTAGTATTCCCCCTGTCACTAACACTGTGACTACTCCAGTTAAAGGACCTATTAATAAACAAATCGAAACGAGAACTTCAGATGGGAAAAGAAGAATTACTCCTATGTTTATTCCACCGCCAGCAGATACAACGTAAGTTAAAATATATAAACTTTATTTCTCTATTTATATATTTACGTCTGGATTTGATATTGAATCTTGTAACGTTTTTTTTTTGTCAATTTTCAGAGATACAAATATCAGTGGTAGTTTAGGCACACCGACATTCATCAGTAAAGTACAAACGAAAAGCTCGATTGTGATAGAAAAACGTAACGATGTTGTTGCACCCAATGTTACTTCGTCGTCTAAGTCAGTTGCTGCCGATGCCCCAGAATCCTCCCTTACATTGAAACGCAAGGAGCAAACAACACTAAAAATACATCATTCTTCACCGAATAAAAAGCCTAAATTCGTATCTGACAGGAGCGTAGGTCAAATGTTACTGCCTCCATTGAAGCCGTCCAGCTCATTATCCCAACAGGCGGGCCATTACGCTGTGACGGTCACTAATAGTCATGGCTTGGCTCATTTGCAAGTATTTAAAGGCACAGATTCTGAACCGACATGGGATCTCTATTTAGGATATAGTGCCGTGGCATTAGCGGCATCACCGGCTGTGATAGCCTTGGGTTTGGAAGACGGGAGTCTTCACACATTTCATCCTGCAAAAGGATGCCGATCAGCACCACCATTAGCGCCACCGGCACCTTTGGCAAAGGTTCACGCTGTTGGAAACGCGGTAATTTGTTCATCGATTTAATGCATCATGTATGTTTATAATGTTTGTTTGTAATTATAAAAAAAATGTAATAGGTGATGGTAATATCGAGCTGTGGTGCGGTTCGCGTATGGGAAATAGGAAATACATGCAGAATGATCGTTTCAACTTCGGCTGCTCATTTAGCAGCGCCTGGAGCATCTCTGTTATCATGCACTTTGTATAATGGAATGCCTCATGTAGCATTTACTAATGCACGAGCATATATGTATCATAAGGATATGGGTATAGCAAAAGCTTGTCATTTTTCATTCTTCATTTATATATGATTTTATATAACGATTATATATATATATATATATTTTATCGTATACAGGGACATGGCTGTTAATTGGAGACAGTCAGGACCCAGTGTGGCGATGGTCGTCATTCAATGTACTGAGTACTTCTGGCAATAGGACGCCTAGAGGACCTCTGTCATCACTACAAGAAGGACTGCTTAGAACCTCTGGGAATATTTTACCAAATCCGCGATTACCGCATAGTGCACCAAGCGTGGTTTCCTATTTGGAACAGCAGTTACTCGCATCTAAAGCTCTTGGAAGTGCCCAAGAGTACATTCATTGGCTTATGGCTTTGGTGTCATTCTTATTAACGCAAGGTACGCCATGCAATCAGGAGACACGGTAGTATCTCGACGCTAAGACACTGCCGTGTTTATGTTTTACTCTCTCGTGTATTTTTTATAATATGAAACATGGATTTCCGAAACGAATTACTATTACTATCTTATACCTTTTCATTAACAATCTTCAATTCTCCTCATCAACTTCGTATAAAATTGAGGCATAGATAGATAGGATGAGGCTCGATATTGAATTTGAGATTCGTTGATTACGAGTCGACTCTCATACGAAGTAATGCATCGTTCTTATATTTCTAATATTTTTTAGACGGTTTGGAGAAACGTCTAAGGCTAATTTTGGACGATCTTTTGGGCCCAAGTCATACGTCAGCTTCCAAAAGTACATGGGACCCTGTTATTTTGGTAATACTACCTATATTCGTCATTAATTTTATCATTTAATTAATTTGATTGTATAATATTTTTCATGTCAAATATATAGGGAATAAAGAAACATAAACTTCTGGGCGATGTACTGGCTGTAATTGGTGGCCATCTTCGTTGGCAAAGATTATACTTGGAATATTCGGAGCAATTAACGACACTGAAGAATCAAACTAATTAATGGTAATTCATTCAACAGTGCAAATTCATTATACCAAAAGTAAATAATCTTTTCCTATGAATATCTTGTATATTTTTAAAGATATCTGTATGGATATATATTAAGATTGTACAGTTTTTATAACATTTATGGCTTGACACAAATGTATGATAATGAATAATTTTTAGTATATTAGCATTTATCATGAAAAAAAGAAAATTATTTGATTTCCCTTGTCGATAACACTATTTAACGAGTGAGGTATTTCAGAAAAGTAATATGGATGCAGATAATGATTATAGATTACAGATAAATTCATAATATATCGATAAATAAAAATCTTTTTTAAATTTTCTTTCTATAAATTATTAGCTTCATCACACATAATTTTAATAATTTTAAAAATCAAAAACTAATTTTTACGAGTCTATAATTATTGAAATGAGTTAAATCAAATTTAATGGATAGGATAAAAAATTATTAATTATTTCATAATCAACTTATATTTATTGTTTAATCTTAGAGTATTCAAGTGCAATTTACACTTTATACAAGCAATAAATTATTTTAAGTAATCAATTATCACAACTAGCATTGCTCTGCTGATTATTACATATATATTACATAAAATCTTTGCAACATACATTATGTATTAGAAAAACATTTGAGTGATTAATTTTATTCAGGCTATTGAAGAGAGAGAAAAAATCATTTGTGTTCCAATTTATATTTTCTAAATCGTAAAATTATTCGATGCAAAACACAACAGTGTATCAATGATCTTAATTTCTGACATATAACTGACAAAATTATTTTAATTTTTGAAGTTGGATGTACATATGCAAATGAACAATGAATACCAAATTGGACATTTTACTGCTAAAACTTATAAATACATACTGTAACAAATAGAATATCACAACATTCAATTTGCTTGTAAAAATGAATCCAAATTAGACAGAGCCCAAACACGAACACGAATATACATTCTATCTCTTATCAGTAAATTAAAAGGAAAACACGTTATGCTCATTTTTTATTGTTGATCACGTTATTAGTTTCATATGGATCTATCAACACGTGATATCTTCTAGATACTCAAATCACATAAAGTGCTTTAAGCAATATTTAAAAAAGTTTATGAATATACGGAAGATTCATTATCATTTTTTCCGCTTTTAAGTCCTTTATAGTCATACCTCCTGAGAATTTTATGTTGGTCACATGGGGCAAAATGATCCCAACATTTTAATTGATTGCCGTATTTACAGCTTTTGTTCTTTAAAATTACAAATATTATTGAACATATTTTAAACTTTGTATAATATGGAGATGCAGTAGCTTTTTAGAAAATTTTTAATTTTAACATATAAAAAAATCTTAAAGACTGACGTCCAAGGAATATGCGACCAAAAGAGCGAAAATTTTAAACTTCAGATAAATGGTAGTTTAAGTTCTGTTTTAAAAAATAACCTTAGAAAGCCTCACACCTTTTTGGGGTCCCAATAACTACGAAGGGTTAAATCAGTGATTATAATAAAAAACCGTCGATGCAGTAATCGTCGGGCATCTTTATCATAGTTTCGTTGCACGTGCAGAAAATACCAAATTTATCGAAATATTTATTACAAACATGAGAAGAATAGAAAATGAATCAGCATAGAAAACGAAATATGTTGTTCATTTAATGTACATCCACTGTAATGATTGATTTGTACACAAAAGCTGTGTACAATCGAATCTGCTTAAATTGGTTACTTGTCAGCAGACTCTTCAATTTTAATTATTATTTTCTGTGTGATACAAAGATGACAAAATGTCCTCGTAGTGTTGCATGTTTGTCTCAAATGTTTCCAATTGTTTAGTGAGATCTCCCAATTGTTCCGCAAGCGTCCTTTCTTCCATAAAGGCTTGCAATTGCGGAGCGCTTTGACACTCTCGATAAAACGCTCCTACATCACTATTGGTATTCGTGACAGCGAAGGGAGTTTTCTGTAACAATATTTGAAATTTGTTTCGTACACAAATGCAGTATAAAATTTGCCCAAGTTAGAATAAAAATATTTTTCCCTATTTGAAAAGTATATAAATATAAAATATTAATCTTTATATATTAATTCTTGTTAATTTATCGCAATACTGCTACTAAAAAAAATTTTGTTACAATAATTCTTTTCTCAAATTTTAAATTGGTATAAAAGAATAAAATTTTATATTTTTTTATGCTTAAAAGATTTTCTATATAAATATGTATATTTTTTTCATCAGCCTTTAAATTTAAACTTAAAATTGATGACACTTAAATCAAATATTATAATTTTAAAAGCAAAATATTTTTTTATAACTAGGCGAAATATTGTTTCTCGGTATCAGGCAAATTTCACACTGTAGGACATGTATATGTATGTATATATATATATATATATGTATATATATATATATAATACATTATTGTGCTATCAGTTCGGATTAAGAACATCAATTACCAAATCTACCATAATAAAATCATCGTTGGCGCTAGTCATTGAACAACTACTCCTTCTAGATCCGTTTTGGGATGTGCATTTCGAAGTTGTATTATCATTATTAAGTCTCTCGTTATTTCCATTGTTGCTATCAGTTGTAATAGCTGCCATTGTAGTCTTTGTACTAGGTTTTACTAGTGATATTGGAGGAGGCGACGTTTGTTTGGGTGTTAATAGCGAACTGAATGGTACATCTGGTATCACGAGATCTTCCTCATTGACAATAACAGGCTTGTTTATTACAAATGCACCAACTTTAATGGTGTCACTAAGTGATTTTGACGTTTCTTCGCTACATATTTAAATTAAAATATTAAAATATAAATATTTTTCATTAAATACATGTAAATATTTTACCAATGTTTACTGACCTTTGTTGATATCGTGCATGACGGGGACTTAAATCCGAATGAAAATGATCGCTTTTAAGCATGATAGAATCTCGTCCTTTATGAGTGGGCGATATAGTCATTTTTGTTCTATAAGAGACTGATAGATGTATAGTGCCTACTGGAGTACACAATTGACCTACTCTTACATGTTTATAGTTATCACCTGTTATAAAATGTACAACATTTAATGAGAAACCATGTTATATAGCAAAGTTATATATGTTACATTGAAAAATGAAAAAATTGATAAAATTGGTAAAAAATTGATTCTTATAAAATAATTCGCACACTGCACATTTCATATATATATAAATAAATTCCGAAATATATAAATTTAAAAAATAAAAAATTTGTGAATTTTTTATTGATAAACTAACCTAAATTATATAGCTGAGGCTCTCCCATGTATATTCGATAGCACATGGTATAAGAGTCAGGTCCTTGACGTCTGCTCAATTTGTAAGCAGGCGTAACTCTTGATACGGAAAGCAAGGACTTCAATAAAATCCCCATTCTGTTATACACAGTATATGTTACTCGTACAGCCGGATCGCTTTGCTCTGGCAAAACGCTGAGGCTCCAAGTTTCTAAAACCATCTTGTCACCCTCTACTGTTTTTAGAGAAATTTCTATGCATAGAGGTACAGCTGAGCTTACTATTTCTCCACATAATGCCCTTTTAGCATCAGCTGAGACTTCTGGTAGTTCCTTTATTGCCAGATTAAACTACAACATCAAATATAAAAATATTTATTTTACTTTTTTTTAAATCTTTCAAATAATAAATAGTAGAATTAAAATGACTGTATGAATCATCCAATTTATTTGGTTTAATAATCCAATATTTTGCATCACAGAGTCCTTTATAAAAAATAATAATTTTTATAAGACATACTGAGCAAAAAATACTTTTTTAAAATATAATTACTATAATCTTAAATTATCTTGGTATGTAGCAACAATGAATCTTTAAGGGGTCATATATTTCTCCTGAAATATAGTCCTGAAAAGTAGTCAAAATGTGGTGAGAGGTTATAAGAAAACTATTGGATCGATTGATTTTTTATTTTAAAGAGGGACTCTTAAGGAGCTTAAACGTGTACATACATAAACTAAAAAATTAACAAAAACATGGCTGCGTCCAGTGGCATAGAAACATGTTTTTTTTTATTGGGTCAAACGGTGGACATGATTCAGCTCGTAATATTTATCTGAAACAAAAATTTTTGTTTTATCATTTTTTAGAATCGTAGTTCTCATGTGACGAGAGGAATTTAAAAAAAAACATTACGGATGGAAGAAAAGAGTCGTTATTTTCACAAAAAAATCGCCTATTTTTTATTGCTATTCAAAAATGGTTAAATTTATTAAAAAAAAAAAACTGACACGATAGCGAATCTAATTTAAAATACGTACACTAAAAATGAAGTTAATTAGACGAACGGTGAGGCAGTTATTATGCCCACCGTTCTGAAAAATGCTATTTCGAGAAAAACGCATTTAAAGTTTTGTAAAAGTTTTTAAGTGGGATAAAATGACAAATTTTTTACTTACGCTTAATCAGTGATAAGCTTAATCACCATAAAGTTGATCCTCCTCTGCAGTATAATCCTCTTCTGACTACAATCTCATCTGTCTATGACGAATTCTCACCTCTTTCGTTGCTTCCTGCGCTCGAAGCTCGCCTGTTGAAAGATGTGCGTCGACACATATATGTGCTCTCTCTTGACACATATAGTATGCTGCATTGCCAATGATGTAATTTAAAGTTTGTAACATTGTTAACAGAGACATGTAGCCTTCGTTAAACATTACTGCTGCGATATATGTAGTGATTTCAACAATCATAGAGTCGCTATACATCTCCTTTGGAACGATTTTCCATACGAGAGCATTTAGACTCTCATTCGATTTTTATGTAGCCACCAATACACCTTGAAAGCAAATATTCTTCGCTCAAGTTTTTGTACACAGGTCGAATAGCATTTTCTACAATTTTAGAAAGAGCAGGCTTATGTCTGTATTCATTCAAGTTGTTGATAGCACACGCTCGCTGCCACGAGCACCCTGATTCTTCTCCGGGTGAGCAATAATGATGCTGCGGTTTCTCGTCCGTTGAAATTTTATGAAAGAATGTCGCCCATATAGCTTTTCTCATCTCTTCAATCGTAGAATCGATGTGTCTCCTGATGGCTAGTTTGTCTGTAAGGTTTTCTCTGAGACCTTTTATTATTTTTACAAGGGCACGAAGACGCGTCTCCATCTTCTTCTGTACATGGCCTACATATTTTTTTTTTCGTAACCGGAGTATCATACAGATTTTCAGAATAACTTGAAATGTATTACCGTCACCGATATAATGTAAATATTTCACTCCGTGTAATTAAAGCGATCGCTGAAACCTGGCATTCTATTGATTTCCATTGCGGTTCACACTCATTACATTGTATTATAATTTTAAATCCAAGGTCAGTTTCTGCAAATTTTATGTCACCTCCACACGTTTTGCATTTTACACTAATAGTCGTAAACACTGCAAAAAAGTTCGAAATTCGATAGCCGAAAATTGCATCTAATATCACTTCAGAATCTTGCCGCTCTTTTTAACTTTTTTGCAGATGCACTCGTCATAGATTCTTCGGATTCCATTTCTGTTTTTGTAGGAGACGTTTTTTAACGGATCGATAAGGTCTTGAATCACTTCTTGAATCTTTTATCGGTCAATATATATTTGTCCTGTCATTTTTGTATCTGTTTATGAGTCACTTATCTGAAACACTAAACTCACGATTGAAATGTACTTTTCCACAGCTCCAAGCCAGCTATAGATTCCAAATGGGTTCAGTAATATACAGACCCTTCATACAAATAATACAAGTTTTCTTTCTTTCTTCTTATCTTTTATTCAGACGACAACGCACTACTGATAATCGATTGGAAATCTGACCTTCAGAGCGATCCGATTAGTTTTGTTAAAGCAGCTATAACTTCGTCAATAATTCGAATATTGAGCTTGCTCTGGTCTTAAAATGTTTTTAAGATATATATCTTTTAAAATAAGCAAAAAAAAATCAATTTTTTGAAGTTGAGAAACGTATATGACCCCTTAAGTATTTCTTATGAAAAAGATCTACCTTTTCTGATATTTTAATATAGAAATAATAGGACATGATGAAAGAAAACTATTCTAAAAATGAATTTTAGTATTACGATGAAACAAATAAAAATAAGAAAACATTGAATAGATGTTTGTTTTTCCATTTGCTTCATATGCTCCATTTGTTTCTTATACATATTTAATAACAGGGTTGTCACAGAAAATGAATTTTAAAATTCCCTGACTTTTCCAGGTTTTTCATATAAAATATGTAAAAATTTTAACATTA